GTAGACTCCTGAGCATTTTTCCAAGCCATGACACTCGGCTCCTCCTCCCACGGGAACAACCAGTAGCAAGCATGTTCTGAACACTTAGTGGGTGCCCGCTCTGTCGGCCTCAGCCCCCACAGAACCCTTTGAAGAGAGGAGATGCCGTTTCTCCTATAGGAGAGTGAGTGGTGGTCCCTGGCAGCATGTGGAGCCAGACAAGGCTGCGGTTCAAATCCCAGCTCCATCACTCAGTTGCTGTGCGACCTCAGACAGGTTGCTAGACTCTCGGAATGGCAGTTTCCTTATCTTTAAAATGGACATAACATGGCCACTGCATACATTCCCCAGTTCAAATGAGGTTTCCTTGTTTATTCTTTGTCCCACTTACTGTCATTGTGACCAACTGTTTTCTCATTCCTTTTCTGCCTGCCACAAGCTGACGTGGGTTGCCTGAGGCAGGACCACAGCTCTTTTGCTCTCTTTTGGATGCCCAGTGCTGGGCACAGTGCCCAGCCCACAGCAGGCTCTTGTGGACTCCTGGCAGATGGACAGACGGGGCTGTCGTGGACACTGAGCGACACTGGATGCTGGGGATGGGCTGGCTGGATAGGGGGAACGCCAAGTTCTGGGACGTGAGGGGTGGGGAGCAGAATTCTCAAAGTGCACAACGTCCCACCATGCCTGGTGTTCCTGGGGCGCGTCTGTAGAGGGCCAAGGCTCTGGGTGTGAATCCTCCCTCTGCCACCTGCTGTGAGGGCAACTTTGGGCAAGTCATATAATTTCTCGGAGCCACAGTTTCCTCTGCTCTGAAAGTGGATAATGACAACCCTCTGTGCATAGGGCCTGGAGGGGGTCAGGCAGAAGCCACAGTGAGAGTGGCTCTGGGTCTGAACAGCGCAGGCCAGCGCTCTGGAGTCCAGAGGCCTTTCTCCCCTTCCTGCCTCCTGCTCACCAGTCATAAGGAGGGGGAAGGGGGCCCTGGAGGGAAGGGAGGCTAGGAGAAGGCCAGCCACCCCAGCCCTTGTTGATAAGCCCAGCTTAAGGGGAAATCCGGGCCTCTGACCTCCCAGATGCTCACAGACACATAGACATACTGAGAGACACACATACACAGAGACACAGAGGCATGCACAGAGACACACGGAGACACAGAGATGCTCACAGACACAGATTCACAGGGACGCTCACAAACATACACAGAGACACACACACACAGATGTTCACAGAGACACACTGAGAGATATGCTCACAACCAGTCACAGAAACACACAGATACAGACAGCCACTCACAGGAACCCACAGACACAGATACACAGAGATGTTCACAGACACACACAGAGACACAGATACACAGAGATGCTCAAAGACACACACAGAGACATACTGAGAGACACACACAGAGACATGAGCACAGACACACAGAGATACACTAAGAGACATAGAGATATACAGAGACATACGGCCACTCACAGAAACAGACGGGCTCACAGAGACAGACACAGATACACAGAAATGCTCACAGAGACACACTGAGAAACATACTCAGACATTCACAGAGATGTACTCACAGACACACAGATATAGACACAGAGACACAGTCTGTGAGTGTCTGGGAGGTCAGAGATAGACACACAGACGGATGGAAAGACATATTCACAGACACACACACTCAGACACACAAAGAGACACATAAGTGGAGAGACACACACTCACAGACACAGACACACTCAGAGAGATGCACACAAACACACTGACAACCCACTTACAAACATGCCGAGACTTGCATAGACACACTCAGCGAGTGTGAGCCCGGCAGCCTGTACCGTGCTCGCCTGTGCTAGCCTGAGGCTAGCCCTTGCCAGCTGGAGCGGGCTCCTCACAGCCAGCCTGGGGTGATTTCAATGTCCTGGGAGCCCCAGGTCTCACTGACAATCCAAGTAGACCCTTGAGTCAAAGCTGCTGCCACCCTACGTGGCTCCATCAAGAAGGAGGGGTGATCTCTTTCCTTTGAGAGATGGTTTAACCACCTTCCACCCTATCCCACCTGCATCCTCAAACTTTTTACTCATTTACGTAACAAACAGCATATGCTGTGCTAGGCCGATGAGAAAATGAACAAGACAGAATTGGGGCCCTTAGGGGGATCCCAGCCCAGGGGTTTGCAGGTGAGGAGGCAGAAAGGTAAACCTATCATAGTGCCGGGGAGGTGGGTTACCTCCCAGCCCACCAGGGGTGTCCTCAACAGATCCCTGAGAGGAAATAGTCAAGCCTTAGGGCCCCACCTGGGTGGCCTTTCCTGGCCATGGAAGACAGCAGGGCACAGCTTTCATTCCGTCCCCTCACCCCCACCTCGCTTCCTCTCCAGGGTGGTCTCCCAGCCACGTGGACAGTGCTGTCTCCCTTCCCTGACTACACCTTTCCCAGTCAGATCTTTGGACCCCTGCCCTATCTAGAACCAGGGAGGCAGAAAGAGCTCATTCATCTGGGACCTGGGAGCACCTAGGCCGCTTCTGATGGAGACTCATGCCCACCTGTGTGCTGAGAAGCGACCCCAGGCTTCCCAGAATAGAGGGCGTCCTCTGGGGTGGTCACTTGTCCTTCCAGGCATCTGAACCCTGAACCTACCACCAAGTCCTCAGCCTTCCGCTTTCCCTCTCTGTCAACTTCCCCAAAGTTCTTAGGATCCCAAGAATCACCTCTCCCTGCCTCAGCCAGACCCCAGGGAACTGTGCAAGCCCTATGGTCCTGGTACCCACATGAGCCGGAGGCAGGGGCCGGAACAGGAGAAAGGAGAGACATACTCAGAAACTGAAGGGTGGGTAGGTGGGTGGATGGATGAATAGATGGGGGATGGATGGATGGATGTGTGGGTGAGTGGATGGATGGATGAATGGGTGGGTAGACGGAGAGAGAGAGGGGTGGACATATAGACGGGGTGACAAGAAATGATGGCAGGAAACCTGGAAGGCAATGACTGCAAGACAAGGGTGGTGTCGGGCGGGGTGGGAGATGCCTGCACCAAATGGCCTTCCTGGAACAAATGTGTCTTTTTTCTTCTCCATGAACGGAACCTCCCAGCCACTCCTGCAGGAACACATTCTAAGTCTGTTTTTAGCTCAGCAGACCAGAATGTGTCCCTGGGAGCCAGTTTGATTGCAGTCCGTTTGCCCTGGACCAACTTTTGTGGACATGGAGACTAACTGATGGAATCCTCCCTTGTAAAGCCCTTTCTGTGTTTCAAGACTTCAACTAAAATAAAGTGGTTAGACAAGTGGAGTTTCAAAGTAGGCCTTCCCAGAGATGTTGTAGGACTTGAGAGAACATTTCTACTTTTTTTTACAAAATATTTTAAAAGTTCTCAAAACTCTAGTTTTAAAAATAAAATCCACTGTAGACTATTAAACTATGTGTGTGTGTCCCCCCAGCTAAACCCGCTTGTGTCCTTTCTGCTTAAGTGACAGGCCTGAGGTCTCAGGGCACACAGTTGATAAACTATTACCATTAGCAACTCCTTATCTGCCTGATTCTTCTCTTTACCGCCTAAGGAATCAAAGCAGAGACATCAAGTGGGTTCCGGCCCCGTGTGACCGGCACCGCCATCTGTAACCCCCCGTGTAAAACGTCTGTCTTCCCAGAGCCTTTAGAGTAAGAAAATATTGTGGAGTTGGACGTTTCGTTTATTTCTTTTATTGGTTTCATGCATGGGGGTTTCCGTGTTCATTTTGGTGTGTGTGTTTTTAAACAGGAGAATTTCACTGATAATTTTTAAAAGAAAGAAAAGAAAAAAATAAGAGAAACCCACGGAACTGACCCCCAAGACGTATTTCAGCTCTTCCTTCTCTGCTTCTGTCGTCCTGTGCGAGACCCAACCCCCGGCCTTTCTCCCTTCGTGCTAGTTAAGCTGATTCTTAGTTAGGGCTGTCAGTCCCCCCATCATCCAACTCAGAGCCCTTTTGCCAACAGATACCTGGCTGGCCCCACGGACACATTGTGGGGAGGTGTGTTGTCCTACCTTAGGTCAAGGTTAGGAATTAGCCCTTCTCTTCTGAGCCTTTTATGGGCCGGCCCTTCATAAATTTGCCCAAGCCCTTATTGGTCCTGTGGAGGTCATCTCTTGGGGTTATGAGTCCCTGTTTATGACCCGAGGGGGAGGCAGCGGTTCCTTCTCAGCAGGAGCGTCGCCACCACTCTTCCGGAACTTCCTTCGGGAGTGACTAGAGCTGGGTAGAAGGCTCTGCTTAGCCCCTGTGAATGTCGAGGCCGGAACCGCCCAGTCCCTTCTCACAGCTGGTGTTAATAATCCTGGCTCTAGACCTAATTGGTGAGAAGGCCAGCTGGTTCCTAACCACACGCGTTCTGGAATATTGCACAGAAGCAGCTCTGCTGTTTTCTCTATGGATGTAGAATAACTGGAATTGGGCTGGCAGGAGGCAGCCCGCTGAAAGAAATAGATAAAAAAAGCTTGTAAATATCACATCAATTGATTGCTTATTATTGGGCTCAGAAACTACTGGTTCCCTTAAGCGTAGGCTATGTCCCTTTGAAAAATGATATTGTAGCCGGGCTCGGTGGCTCAGCCTGTAATCCCACGCCTTTGGGAGGCTGAGGTGAGTGGATTGCCTGAGCCCGCGGGTTCAAGACCCGCCTGGGCAGGCGAGACCGCATCTCTACAATAAATCAAAAAATTAGCCGGGCCTGGTAGCACGCGCCTGTAGTTCCAGCTACTTGGAAGACTGAGGCAGAAGGATCGCCGGAGCCCAGCAGGTCGAGGCTGCGGTGGCCGGGAGCGGCCACTGCACTCCAGTCTGGGCGACAGTGAGACTCCAATTCAAAAAAATAATAATAATAAAAAATAAAAAACGATATTGTTAACTGCTTTGTACACCTTTATCTTTGAGTGGAATCAGAGAAGTCAGTAAATTAAAGACAATGACTTTTTTGAATTTCGGATGCAGCTGTCCTATCACTGTGGCTTGCTTAATGACCACTCGTTCCAGGCTGTTTTTCTCTCCTTCCAGATTGTTCTCTGGGGCCGGACTGAGAAATGCCTGAAGGAGACGACGGAGGAGATTCGGCAGATGGGCACCGAGTGCCACTACTTCATCTGTGACGTGGGCAACCGGGAGGAGGTGTACCAGACGGCCAAAGCGGTCCGGGAAAAGGTCAGTCGCCTGGGAAGTTCCATCCTCAGCCTAAGGCCAGGCAGAAGGAACATTCTCACGTGGCCTGGGAGAGGGATTTGCTTATCCAGAATGAGTTCATCCAGGGCACCTTTGGGAACTGCCCTATGAAGCTGGCCCACGTAACATGGGCAGGGATGATACTAGTAGTCATCTGGTGTTCCCTGAAAATGTAGACCCCAGGGGGCAAATGTCCCATGGCCTCCTTGGAAAACCCTTCCCCTGTCTTGAGTCATCTGTTTAGACTGGGTGTATGAGTGAACTTCAAGAGAGCGAAAACCATTTCTGCTCCTCAGAACAGCCTTGATATAGTGTCAGCTCCACCTCACAAACCCAGACTGGCACTCAGAGAGGACATGGCTTCCCAAGGCCCTGTGGCCGGCCATGGGTCAGGCCTTGCCCCTTGGAGCACTGGTCCCTGGGGCCGGCTGCCCTCATGCCCTGCGGCCCCTCTCGCCCACAGGTGGGCGACATCACCATCCTGGTGAACAACGCTGCCGTGGTCCACGGGAAGAGCCTGATGGACAGTGACGATGATGCCCTCCTCAAGTCCCAGCACATCAACACCCTGGGCCAGTTCTGGGTAAGGGGGTCCGGGACCGGAGCCAGCCCTGGACATGCCGGGAGCCCAGGTGGGGTGGGGCTGGAAGGGGGACGCTTGCCAGGACTTGGACTTGAGCCAGCGGAGAGGTCCAAGGATAAGGTGGCCGGAGAAGAGGAACGACCGGCCCCGGGGCGCATCAACTTTCTGGAATGTGCGCTCAGTGTCCTGCGGCTGGGAGCTCTCAGCCCCTCCTGCCCAGGAAGGCACAGGAGCATCCGTGTGTCCAGGGTGGGCTACTCTCCCTGAGAAAGGGGGAGGGGGTTGCGGGGAGCCACAGCTGCTCCACACTGATGCCCCATTCACCTCCAGACCACCAAGGCCTTCTTGCCACGCATGCTGGAGCTGCAGAACGGCCACATCGTGTGTCTCAACTCTGTGCTGGCACTGTCTGCCATCCCTGGCGCCATCGACTACTGCACGTCCAAAGCCTCGGCCTTTGCCTTCATGGAGAGCCTGACGCTGGGGCTGCTGGACTGTCCGGGAGTCAGTGCCACCACGGTGCTGCCCTTCCACACCAGCACCGAGATGTTCCAGGGCATGAGGGTCAGGTCAGTGAGTGGGGGCGGGCCTCAGGGCTTTTCCCCGGATGTGTTACGAGTTTCGTTTAGGATTCACCCAATAATCCTACCAGGTTAAAAAAAAAATCTTTGTGAGTCAGAGTCTCACTCTGTCACCCAGGCTGGAGTGCCGTGGCACAATCGTGGCTTATTGCAGACTCGACCTCCTGGGCTCAGGTGTTCCTTCCGCCTCTGCCTCTTTGAGTAGTTGGGACTACAGGTATGTGCGACCGTGCTCAGCTAATTTTTTTATTTTTTGTGGAGACAGGGTCTCGCTATATTGCCTAGGCTGGTCTCAAACTCCTGGGCTCAAGCAATCCTCCCGCCTTGGCCTCCCAAGGTGCTGGGAATTACAGGCGTGAGCCACCACGCCTGGCCTCTCTACGAGGTAAATATTATCTCATTGTTTTATAGATGAGCAGAATAAAGTTCAGAGAAGTAGCAAGACTGGCCAAAAGTCTCATAACTAAAATGTTGTGGAAGAGTAGCTTGCCTGTGCCCCCCAGCCTGTCCAGGCAGCTGTGCACAGAGAGGGCTTCAATGTGAAAATAACCCAGAGGCCCGTTGCCTGTGGCTTCATTCTTTTTTTTTTTTTTTTTGAGTTGGAGTCTCACTCTGTCGCCCAGACTGTGGCCCCTCCTGGCCACTGCAGCCTCGACCTGCTGAGCTCCGGCGATCCTTCCACCTCAGCCTTCCAAGTAGCCGGAATTACAGGCGCACGCTACCACGCCCGGCTGATTTTTTTATTTATTGTAGAGATGAGGTCTCGCTGCCCAGGTGGGTCTCAAACCCATGGGCTCAGGCAATCCACTCACCTCAGCCTCCCAAGGCGCAGAATTACAGGCTGAGCCACCGAGCCTGGCTGGCTTCATTCTTGACTGCAAGGCAGCAGGAGGCAGTGGTGGGTTAGGGTCCTGCCTCTCAGCCCAGGGAGCTCGTACAAAACGCCAGGCCTGAATGCCTTTGGGGGAGGGAGAGCCGAGGAGAGGGGAGGGTGCTACCCAGCAACAAGGGAAAGGAGGATGGATCCAAGCAACGTGGATGGATCTTGAAGCAGTAAGCTCAGCTCCAGGAGCCAGAGGGGAAGAACACATCCCGCCTGGTTCATGGATGCGAGGTTCTGAAACAGGCATAGCTGGGTTGCCGTGATGGAAATCAGACCAGCAGCTGCCCCTGGAGGGGATGGGGATACAGCCTGGGGAACTTTCCAGGCTAGAAATGGTCTGTCTTCTTGATCTGGGCAGTGGTTAAATAGGTGAAAGTTAAGCTATATGCCTTTTTATTGTATGTAAATCGTAGCTCAATATAGAGAAATAGGGAGGCCTCTCTTCCAGACTCATTAAACCCAGGGGACTTGGGGCCACCGGTTCAAAGCTCAAGCTTGGAATCCAGGCATCAGGTGGTGACTCCCCTGTTGCTGTGATGTCCTGTGTAACACTGAGTCTGATTGGTTACTGCTCTGGCCTTCATTGCTGGTCTATAAAATGGGGTGTTGAAAATGTCTACATAACAGACTCTGAGGTGAGGGTAAGATGGAATCTGGTGTGGAACACCACATGTGCTGCATAGTAAGTACCCAATAAACAGTGCTCAGGAGCCGAGTAACACGTGACTGTGGTCCCAGTTACTCAGAAGGCCGAGGCAGGAGGATGGCTTGAGCCCAGGAGGTCAAGACCAGCCTGAGCAACCTAGCAAGACCCCGTCTCAAAAAATAAAATGTTGCTATAATAATGTACAGTTGTGTTGGGGCATAAGGTTATAGATAAATGAAAACCGGGGCCAGGTATAGTGGCTCATGTCTGTAATCCCAGTACTTCAGAAGCCAAGGCGAGAGGATCACTTGAGCCCAAGGGTTCAAGACCAGCCTGGGCAATATAGCAAGAACTTATCTCTAAAAAAAAAAAAGAAAAGAAAAATTAGCTGGATATGGTGGTGTGTGCCTGTAGTCCCACAGCTGCTTAGGAGGCTGAGGCAAGAGATTTACCTGAATTCAGGAGTTCAAGGTTGCCACGAGCGGGCTACTGCACTCCAGCCTGGACAACAGCGTGAGACACTGACTCAGAAGAGAAAAGGAGGCCGGGCTTGGTGGCTCAGCCTATAATCCCAGCACTTTGGGAGGCCGAGGCGAGTGGATTGCCTGAGCCTGCGGATTTGAGACCCACCCAGGCAACTTGGAGAGACTTCATCTCTACAATAAATCAAAAATTAGCCAGCGTGGTGGCACGTGCCTGTAGTTCCAGCTATTTGGAAGGCTGAGGCGGAAGGATCGCCGGAGCCCGGCAGGTCGAGACTGTGGTGGCTGGGAGCGTGCCACTGCACTCCAGTCTGGGCAACAGAGTGAGACTCCAACTCAAAAAAAAAAAAAAAAAAAGGAAAGGAAAAGAAAAGACCAGAAATTATCCCTAATGATTTTCCCTGGTGTTTGCAAGCTGGCATATGATGATCTGCCTTCTGAACCGCATGCTTCAGCTGGAAGGGTCATTGTGAAAATTAAATGAGACAATTTAGCGTGGTGCACGCCACACGGGAATCTCTCCAAATACCTTAGTCATTATTAATAGGAACAGAGCAGCTTTGGTTGTCAGGAATCAAAAATACCTGCTTTGAATCTCCCTCAGCTACTCTTATTGTGGTGCCTTGGGCCAGTTTTGTTACCTCTCTGAGCTTTATTTTGCTCATGTGTAAACAATGGAAGTAATACTCACCTCATGGGATTATTGGGAGAATTAGAAAGGATACATGTACTGCATCTAGTGCAAAATCCAGAACATTCTAGATGCTCAATAAACAGCTGTTTCTCTTATTACTTTCACTAACAATAAATGTCTTCATAAATGCATACATTATTAATTTTCCTAGCAGACCGTATCTTCACAGTTTGTCACAGTATATATTTCCACCTGGCTTGCATGCAAATTATCATAAATTCTTAATTTAGGAGGCTGGACTAATGCCTGTTTATGTTCCATGTTGGCTTTTCCCCTCATTTCTTTTCATTTGAGTATTCAGTGGGTGCTCAGTAAGTGCATATTGGACAGAAGTGCAACTGTGGCAATCACAGCTTTCATTGAGCACCCTGAGCACAGAAGTGGGATATCACAGTGTCTATCTCACCATCTAGCATACTTTCCTCTCTGCCATGATAAGAAGGAAATTCAAGGTTTTTCCGAGTCATTTTTCATAGTGGTTCAGAGTGTGGGCCCAAACGACCTGGGATAACATCTCAACTCTGTGTGACCTCAGGCAAGTTACTTAACTTTCCTGTGACTCGGTTTCCTCATCCATAAAAAGGGATTGTTAATAGTACTCCTACTTCATGGGTTAGATGAGCACCTGTATATGAAATTGAGTAGCTGTGCCCGGCAGATAGTGAGCACCAGGTGATTGTCAGCCACCTGTAACTGTGGGTATGCAGAGAGCCCCGAAGGCTTGGCCAGAAGAGGAGGAGCGGACTTAACCCAGTCCCATTTCCCAAGAGAATAAGAACTGAATAAAAGCCTCAATTTCCTCCTGCGACCATGCTTAGCTGCTTTCCAGGGCTGGAGGTGGGAGGCACGTTAAGGCAAAATGGGTGGGTTTCCCAGCAAGACTGGCCACACCGATGGGTGCTTCTGTTTGCAGATCACCATTTGTGGAGCCTCTTCTATGTTGTAGCTATACTGCCAGTCGCTTCACAAGCACTGCTGCTTTTTGTCCTCATAGCAACCATGCAAGAGAGCTCTTATCCCCGTGTTAGACGAGAAAACTGGGGTTCAGGAAGCAAAGTTCCTTGACCAAGGCCACACAGCTAGCTGAGCATGCTTCTGCCACAAATTGCTGCTGCTTCCATGGGAGGTTAGTAACTCTGCCAGCTCCCTGTGGACCCATCCTACCTACCACATAAAAGAAGGAGAGAGTCCCACCCACAGATGGGCTGGAGGCCTCCTCAGTCAGGTTTTCCTGCAGGGGTCTTACCAGGAAGGGTCCACCCCAAGCCCAGGGAGCCTGGTCTGTCCATCCTGTCTTCCCTTCCCCAAGAAATGGGACAGGCCACAGGGCAAGGCCAGAGAATCTAGACTGTCTGCCGTGTCGATAAGATCCCCATAGCAGTAAGCTGCCTCAACACGTTCACCCCAGCAGAACCCCGGAGGTTGACCCCTCTAGGCTGCAGGGCTGTGGGCTTCTTAGAGACACCATCCTGATGGCAAAGAGCATACAGGCAGGGGTGAGATCCTTGTGCCTCTGAGGCCAAGCGCATGCTGGGAGTCTGAGGGCTGAGACTTCAGACGCAGTGACTCATCACCTTAATCTTCCTGGTGCCAGAGCGGATCACAAGCCCTTTGTGGGACTGAGGTCAGAACCAGCAGCAGCAGCCCTGCACCTACAGGCCCAGGAGGGGCAGGAAGAACAGTGAGCACGGGCCTTAGAGCATTAGCCTGGCGTTGAGTCCCTTGTGCCCCACTGACTCCCCAGAGCCTTGGTTTCCTCATCTGTAAGTTGGGGGAATAATTTGTGCATAGACCTGGCACTTAGGAAGCTGTCATCATTGTTTGGGTCTGGGATCAGATGCTTTTGATATTTGAATGATATTTAATCATTCATTCATCCTGAAATTCCTGGGAAAATACTCTGGAAATGTTTGGATGAATCCATGAATGAATGAACGAGTCAGTGAACCAGCAGGCTGGGCAGAAGACAACTCTTGCTAAGCCCTGCTCCAGAAAGAATGAGCTGGACACACTGGGGAACAGCCAGCCATTCGGGGTTCATCCACTCAGCAAGGATTTATTGAGCACCTACTGTGTGCCGGACACTGTGCTAGATGCTGGAGACACAAGGAGCAAGACCAACTGGGTCTCTGCCCTCCTGGGACTCACAGTCTGAGGGTGGAGGCAGGCCACTGACAAACGACCTGACAAGCAGGGCCATTCTAGATGGGGGCAGATGTGGTCAAGGAAGTGAGCCAGAGTGGAGTCAGAGGCCACTCTGGGGAGGTTGACCTGAGACGTTGCCCGAGGGAGAGCCGGGAGGGGGGAGCCAGATCTTTGGGACAGCTGGCAAAAGGCCATGACAGGAAAGAGCAGTGTAACCAGAACAGAGAGACAGGTTGGTTCTGCTGGAGCAGAGCAACCAGGGGAGAGGGTTCACAGCGACAGGCAGGGCCCAGCTTGTGCAGCCTTTGGAGAGCATGGGACAGAGCCCATGTGTGCTGGGAGCCCCTGGAGGGCTTTGGAGGGTGAGTCCCAGGTGGGTGGGCTGGAAGTCCTGGAGACCCCATGTACTAGGTAGGAGCATGAAGGAATGTGGAACGAGGTGGGTGGGGGAATATTCCCAACAGGCCTCGAGTCTCTCGAACAGGAAAGGCAAAAGGGTGACCTAGGTCTGTCAGCTACAGAAAGGCTTCCGGCACAAGCATGTGCCCCTCCTGGAGAAACTCACTGCGTCTCTTTCTGCATTCAGGTTTCCCAACCTCTTCCCCCCACTGAAGCCAGAAACGGTGGCCCGGAGGACGGTGGAAGCCGTACAGCTCAACCAAGCCCTCCTTCTGCTCCCCTGGACAATGCACGCCCTCATTATCTTGAAAAGGTATGATGCTGGGGAGAACGCTCTGGATCAGGAGACAGTATATGTGTGATTGATTAGTCATGTCTGTCATGGGCACGAGAATGAGGAGTGGTGGTGTGTCAGCCATCGATGTACTGTCCTTACCATAGGTCAGTGATTCTCAAAGTTGTTAGTCTCAGGGACCCAGTCAAGTCTTAAAAATATGGAGGAACCCAAAGAACTTTTGTTCATGTCAGTTGTGTCTGTCACGATTTAATATGTTAGAAATTACAACTGGCTGGGCTCGGTGACTCGGCCTGTAATCCCAGCACTTTGGGAGGTCAAGGCAAGTGGATTGCCTGAGCCTGCAGGTTCAAGACCAACCCCAGGCAGCTTGGTGAGACCTTGTCTCTACAATGAGTAGAAGATAAATAAAAATTAGCCAGGCGTGGTAGTATATGCCTATAGTTCCAGCTACTTGGAAGGCTGAGGTGGAAGGATCATTAGAGCCCAGCAGGTCAATGCTGGGGTGGCCGTGAGTGTGCCATTGCACTCCAGCCTGGGCGACAGAGTGAGACTCCAACTAAAAAAAAAAAAAAAAATTAAAACTGAGAAAAATGCTATGAGATGTCTGCATTTGGTTGGTTATATGTACAATATTTAGCCATTTATAAATAATAACAAACCCATGGCATTAATATATTTTATGACAGATAATTATATATTCCAAAACAGAATAAATATAGTAAGGAGCAACATTGTTATACATTTTTGCAAATTTCTTTGCTGTCTGGTTTAATTTAAGACAGCTAGGTTCTTTTTTTTTTTTTTTGATTCGGGGTCTCACTCTGTTGCCCAGGCTGGAGTACAGTGGCACAGTCACGGCTCACCACAGCCTTGACCTCCTGGACTCAGGAGATCCTTCTGCCTCAGCCTCCTGAGTAGCTGGGACTACAGGTGAGCACCACCATACCCAGCTAATTTTTTGTAGAGACGAGGTCTTGCTATGTTGTCCAGGCTGGTCTTGAACTCCTGGGTTCAAGCAATCCTCCTTCCTCGGCCTCCCAAAGTGCTGGAATTACAGGCTTGAGCCACCGTGCCCGGCCTGAGGACAACCAGATGCTTACATCTGCTTCTGATTGTAGTTTGCGGTGCTATCCCATGTCATGTCGCCTCTGGAAAACTCCACTGCACATGGAGAGGATGAGAGTGAAAAATAAAAATAACATCTCAGCATTATTATAAATAATTTGACCTCACAGACTCCTGAAGAGATATCGGGTACCCCCAAGGGTTCCTGGACTACACTTTGAGAACTACTGTTTTAGCGATTCTAAAACATAGCCCCAGCCCTTAGGACGTTTACTGTCATGGGGAATGCAGAGATCTTGAAGTCAAGGACTCAGAATTCCCAGAAATGTCATAGTACTAGTCAGATGGGATTTACTAGGGCAGACCACTTCAGGAAGGTGTCATTTATATAGGAGATCGTTTTCCTCCAGAATTTGCCCAGCATCATATTCCCCTAGAACTTTCCACCCTGTGTAGCAAACCCTTCCCATCCCAGTCCCACGCCGAGCTGGCTCTTGCAAGGGACCACCTGAGCACAATTCCCTTGGATCTTGGTTAACAGGGAGGTCTTTATCCCTGGAGCCATGAGTGGCCGTGGGCTCTTGGCTGTCCTGAACCCCGGCCAGCTCCAGCCCCCCGGGCCCCGCCTGACCAACCCCCTCCAGCCCGGAAGGTCTTTTTGGGAAGGAAATCCACGAATGCCCTGCCAGCCCCAGCTCACAGGAGACATGAACTCTCAGGAAAACTGGCTTTCCCTGGGGTGTCCATGGATGCAGAGGGCACAGAAACCTTGAACCTGAGGGGACAAGGCCAGTCAGACTTTCTCCTCCAATCTCAGCGCCCTGTCACAGGCGCAGGGAGGGGCGCCCGGGACGTTCAGACCACATCTTGGCTTCCCTCAGTCCATCCTGATGTTGATCTGAGTGGCTTCTGGGTGGCCTCGGGGAGCCCCTAGTAGAGCAGGGGCTCAGGTCCTCACCAAGGCAGGGCTGCCACCCTTCGCCTCGGGGGAGCTTCTTAGAAGCCTTTGGAACTTTCTAGAGAAAAGTGAGTGTCTAGAATATCTCAGCACTCTCCACAGTAAGCCCCCGGCCCACACTTTCCCCCCACCACTCTCCGAGAGGAAGCGAGGCCACCCCTCCCCCGTTCCCTGCGTGGTATCCCTCCTCACCTTCCCCAAGAGGAACTTTTCAAGGTTCAACTCTGGTACCCAGGAAGCCTTCCAGATTGCCCTGGCCAGAAGCCAGTGTTTCCCATCTTGTGCCTAGAGTGAGCCAGGGCCCTTCAATTTGATTCCACAAACAGACTGAGGGCTCCCTCGGTAGCTGAGGGTGAGCCTGGGATATCTCGCCGTAGGGTGCAGCTCCCGACGCATACCTGACTCCTCAGACCCATACAGGAAATCGTTATGGCACACGTAGAGATTGAGATTGGTCTCGAAGACACCCCCCAGGCCCTGAGATGCTATGAGTGTGGCCTTGAAAGGTTGTTCCTAGCAGTTCCCAAGCCTTGTCAACTTTTCCACTTACTTAAAAGCCCTTCCTCACAGAGGCCGAGTGGGGGTTTGGGGTTGGGGAAGCTGGTGTGTGGCTTGGAGAGGGATGGGAAACGCTTCTGGGAAGCAACTCTGTTGTCCTGTCTCGAGCGGCCCCAGCGGCCCAGCCCAGGGTCTCCTCCGCTGACTGTCTTCTTTTCTTCCTCCCGCTTCCCCAGCATACTTCCACAGGCCGCCCTCGAAGAGATCCATAAATTCTCAGGAACCTACACTTGCATGAACACTTTCAAAGGGCGGACATAGAGGCAAGGTGCAGAGACATGCTCGAGGAACCATGGAGTCTGAGGGGCCACAGACCCTGGGCACACACTCATGGGCCCGCCCGCTGGCACACTTCTGCTGGGTGAGCAGGGTGGCTCCGGTCCCCAGGGAGAATCTGGCTGCCCCACAGGCCAGCCTCAGGACCTTTGCACAGGATTGGTGCGTGTAACTCTGACCCCCATGGGGAGGCAGGAAACCAGCCAGCGGCCGCCTTGATGATGCTCTTGTACATTTCCAATTCTGTAGAGTCTATTGTTCAATTGCTTCTCAAGTCTAACCAGCCTCAGCAGCGTGCATAGACCATTTTCAGGAGAGTCTGTCCCCAGGTGCTCCGCCTCCCCTTCCGAAACCCACTCAGCCTCGGCTTGCACAAACTGGTTGAACGGCGGGAATGGAAAATAAAGAGAGATGGCGTTTGTGAGTTCCTTTGTTCGAATCCTCAGTGGGCAGTTGGGAGGAGGCCAGCCCCAACTATAAAACTCCATCCTTTGAGAGTCTGAATTGATCTGCTCAGGGTCCTGGCTCCTGAGAATGGAGGAGGGAGCAGAGGTGAGGAGAGAAACTGGAGTACAAGCCTGGAGGCCGGGGGTGGGGTCTGGTTCCTCTGCCAGGCCATCCATGGGTTCAGGGGCCACTTTGCTTCCCTGAGTGTCCTTCATGAGCTAGTCTGCAGAGAGCCGGTCATGGCTCTAGCTGCCCTCTGTTCTGCCACAGTGCCACCAGCCACCAGGCCACCAACTCAGGAGAGTGGAATCAGTGTTTACTGAACACCCACTGTCTACCTCGCATGTGCTTGGTGCTGAGGGGAACATGGCTGAGAAGCTGAAACTCTGCAGACCACCAGTACAAGAGGTCAGTTATCTGGTTGAGGCCGAGTGTAGGGGCTCACGCCTGTAATCCCAACACACTGGGAGGCCGAAGTGGGAGGATTGCCTGAGTCCAGGAGTTAGAGACCAGCTTGGGCAACATAGCGAGACCTCATCTCTACAAAAAATTTAGAAAACTAGCCAGGCATAGTGGCGCACACCTGTAGTCCCAGCTACTCAGGAGGCTGAGGAAGAAGGATGGCCTGAGCCCAGCAGGTCGAGGCTGCAGTAGCCATGATGATACCCCTGCACTCCATCCTGGGCGACAGAGTGAGACCTTGACTCAAATAAATAATCTGGTTGAAAAGGATCGTGAGTCACTGGACACAGTTAGTGACAGCTCATCAAGGTAAGGCTAGTGCTGAAGGGTGTACAGAACCCATGAACCATTTGATTGCAGGAGCAGGGGGAGGTCTGGAGTGGCAGAAAGGGATTGGCACAGGCTCCGTCAGTGGGGGGAGAGACTGTGTAGTGTCACCTCTGGCTCCTCTGGTTTGCCTGCTCCCCTGAGGTCGCAAGCTTAGTAAACCTGACCTTGGAGGCAATCTCTATTAAGTAGCCTCCACCACCGGGTTCCGTGGCTCAGCCTGTAATCCCACGCCTTTGGGAGGCTGAGGTTAGTGGATTGCCTGAGCCCACGGGTTCGAGACCCGCCTGGGCAGCAAGACCTCATCTCTACAATAAATCAAAAAATTAGCTGGGCGTGGTAGTGCATGCCTGTCATTCCGGCTACTTGGAAAGCTGAGGCGGAAGGATCGCTGGAGCCCAGCAGGTCGAGGCTGGGGTTGCTGTGTGCATGCCACTGCACTCTAACCTGGGCGCCAGAGTGAGACTCCAACTCAAAAAAAAAAAAAAAAAAGTAGTCTCCACCCACACAGCAGGTGGAAGCAGGATGGCGGGAGGCGCAGGCAGGGTCCCCCGGGCATGAGGAGAAGAAGGTCACAGGCCTCTGATTTCCCCATGAGACGCATAAGGCCTGCACGTGCATACAAACCTCAGGCCAAACTCTCCCAAAACACATTAAAGGAAGATTAGATTCAACTCAGGGGATCGTCGATCTGGTCTGGGCACAGAAAGGCCAAGCCATAATTCCAGCCACTCTGGATGGTACCTACAGGGTGGCCGCCAAATCTGAGGCATAACATTTGTCCTCTTGATCATCCGTGCCACCCAGCAGCCGCTGAAGACGGAAAAACTGCTCTCAGAGACCGCCTTAAAGACTGCAGCAACCATGAAGTTACCAGCCAGGATGGGACCCCTAAGTCTCAATGGCTTTCAACAAGGAAACTTTTCATCGTACTCTTGCTACTTGTCCTTCGAGAGTGGCCACAGCCCAGCTCTGGGTCATCTTTGCTCTGGAATTCAGGCTGATGGGGTAACCTCCACCTGGGTGGATGTCTTGTGGCAGAGATAGACACACCTGGTAAACTGCCTCTGAAAGCTTCTGCCTGGAAGCAACCCACGTCACTTCTGCTCACATTTCTTTTTTTTTTTAAACACATCTGCCTTTATTGTAAGTAGCAAGCGGGACGCTTCCAGCACAGTAAAAAAAAATTAATTTACAAAAGCAGGGATTCAGTGAAGCGGCCTGGCTGGTACCCTGGGGCGCTCACACGTAGATGCCAACCCAGAGTAGCAGGAAGAGGACTCCAAAGCCCATGAAGAGCGGGGCCACCAGGGAGATGAGGAGTTCTTTGTAGATATCGCGAGTGTACTTGGTGGAGGTGACCTCATACACGAAGAACCAGGCGGTGAAGAACATGCCAATGGCCAAGAGCACCACGGTCAGATGTGGAAAGACCGCTGGGTTCACAGGGCTGGTGCATCTGCTCCTAGCTTCGAGCTCCATTTTGCCGGGCTCTGGGCGAGCCGCCGATCCTTCTGCTCACATTTCATTGGCCAGAACAGGTCACGCGATCGAGTCTGCCTTGGAGGCAGCCGGAAATCCAGTCCCCCATGGAGGAGCAGTAGGTAGCTTTGACACATAATGTGATTTCCACGCCGGGGACGATGTCATGGAGAAAACTTAAAATTTAGGCCAAGTATGGAGGAAGCAGACAGTCAGCTCCCAGTCACCAGCTCGAGGATGTAGTGGCTCTCTGAAGTATGCAGCAGGTGCTAAGCGGAGCTCTAGAGAGGCAACTGTCAGTGCGGCTCATCTCAACCTAGGAGGGAGTAGTCGGAAGCCCATTTAACAGATGAGAAGACAGGCCCCAAGCAGGGCAACCCTTGTCCTGGCTGGCAGGGCTTGTGAGCACTAGAGCTGGAACTTGAACCCAGCTCTCCCTGCCCTTCATGTCCCCTTGCAACTGGTTCCCATTCATCTCTTGACTTTTGGTTCATGAAAACGAGTTGCCGCAGTGTGGGGGTGCTGAAGGGGTCCCGCTGGAATGTCTGCACCCATCACACCACCTCAGCATGTCTGGACAACAAGGGAGGGTTCACAGGGCAGGTGCCTGCCACGGGCTCTCCCGGGAGATGAGAGGTGAACGGGTGCATCTCAGTGGGCAGGGATAGATGAAGAGGATGTGGAGGGGTCCTGTCTGCTGGGCCCCAATTTTCCTGACCATCCTGGAGCCGCGGATCCTTCTGCTTGCAGACTGGCACCAGGCCAGCCTTTTGGAGAAGATTTGGCTCCTGAGTTTCCATGAAATTGTATCTGGCCTGCAGGCCAGGATGCAGCAAGGCTCCCTGAGCTTGGATTGAACTCTGGGAGGGCGCAGTCCCAGCCAGCCCTCCCCGGAGCCCACTGAGGACCCATCACTGTCTTGGCAGCGTGGGACCCTGGCTTCCCAGAGCCCCAGGGCCCTCTCCCGGTGGCAGGGCAGGGCCTGGTTCCACCCCATCCCCTCCATATCAGCCAGGACACTTTCAGTCTTTTGCTGGATTTTTTCCCAGAGGAACCAGAAGAAAGAGCCTTGGGCAGAGTCCCAGGAGACACATTCTGGTCCCTCTCCCAGATGGTTTGGCTGCTTGGAGAGCCTTGAGAGTGGAGAGCTAATTCCGTCCCTCCGCTTGGCCATGCAAGGGAGAGTGACAAGTGCCGAACCCCGAGGGGCAGGACTGGGCATGCCAGCCCTGGGAATACAACTTGGGTCCTGGGAAATGACCCAGTTGCCATGCTCAGGGTGCCTCCCCAGCCCCAAAGAGACCCAGATGGAGGGTGGGCCCTGAGCCCAGGGAGGCGCCAGACCCAAGACCCATCCTGGCACCTGTCCAGGGGCCCAGGCTCTCCAGCCCGGCGAGTGGCCAGGAATCGAGTCCTGTGACCACCACCCTGCTCTTGGGACCAGGATGCTGTGAGAAATAGACTCTCTTCTCCTCGGGCCAAACTGATGTTCAGGAGGGAGTAGGGTGACAGCAAGCCCCTGGAATGACCACACGGCTTGGCCCTTGCTGCCCCGGAAAGCCCTGTCTGATGGGGGAGACAGTCCTTGCCCCTGGGGATGCCCCAGTCTGATGGGGGCCGAAAAAAAAAGCCAGGTCACAAACAAAGGAATCCATCTGCGGAAGCCCTGACCAGCAGAAGGAAGGGGACAGCAGTGGATGCTTGGGCAAGGGGGTCATCTAAGGAGAGAAGAGACTCCCACCACCACAGGGCATCCAGGTCTCCTCTGAGGAGTTATCTCCGCTATTTGGGGGGACCTCCCAGAGGACGCAGACCATGGACAAGAGGTCTGTTTGTGAAGACGGCTTCTATATAGACAGCTCACTTAGGCAAAGCCAGAAGGTGGCAAACATCCTTCAACCCAGAAGGAAGGTCTGGTGCAGCTCACGGGTGCCCTGGTCATGCTGAGCTCCCTTAGAAGGGGACTGTCAAACTGAGATTCAACTTACAGATATTTGCTGACACATGGCCCTTCACAATCTGAGGGCCATTCTCTGTGTCAGAGTTGGCCTGGCCCGGGTCTGGGGGCTTCTGCCCCCGAGCCTCGCAGGGTCCAGCACCCTTCCCCACCTCTCAAGTCCCCCCAAAGCCCTCAGCTCTTAGCAGCCTTGGTGCTCAAACAGCCACACCAGCGTGCTCAGGTCCTCCAGGCCCCACCATGGGGGCTTCCCAGGATGTGTAACATCAACTTTCCTCATCTGCAGAACCGAGGCGGCAGATGCTCCTGCCCTCCTGCCTCCCAGGGCTGGGGTGAGCCTCCAGTGCGAAGGGGACTCAGACAGTTGGGACCTTCTGAGGGTGTGCTGGGACGCTGGCAGCTCACACAGCTCCCAGCCAAGACCCCGCCGCCTCTCAGGCCTCCTGGGGTCACTGCCTTGTCCTGGCCTGTGACGGTGGCATCCTGTGAGGCCTGGCTGGCACCCTAGTGGTAGGGGTGGGAGAAAGCTGTGCTCTGAAGAAGACCCCAGTGCGGTGGTGGAAGGGGGGTCCCTGGGAGGGCAGAGCAAAGGGACCCTGGCAGGACAGGGGTGCTGCGTGGGAACAGGAGCGACTGTCCTCAGCGCCTGTGGATGGGCGGGACATCTGCAAGACACTTCTCTTCACCTCCCACCATCGCTGGTTCTGAGCAGCCCATGGGCACCCACATCTCTCCACGGCTCTGGGAGGATCGACATCGCCCGTACCCTGCTAGGAAGCTGTTCCCTCACGCGGACCCCCTCGGGTGGGCAGCAGGCCTCAGAGGAGGGCTCCGGAGGAGGGGCCGACCCACGCTTGCTGGCTGCGAAGGTTGGATCACGGAGCACTGGGCTGAACCAGGAGGCCAGCCAGCCACTGGCCAGCTATGTGACCCCAGGGATTGCTGACTTCTCTGGGTGGAACTACTCAGAGCCACGTGGCCCTCCCCCCTGCCCATCCTTCCTCTGGGGATTTTAAGGACACTCCTGAGAGAAACAATGAAAAGGCACTTTGCAAAGAAGCTGCCCTTCACACCGAAGCAAGGCCGTGCGTCCAGGTGTGGAGCGGCTGCGAGGGAATATTTCTGCAGGGTCCGGAGCAAAGCAGCCACCCCTCGGAGGTCAACGGTCCTGTTTGCGTGATCAGGCCCCCAGCCATGCCCCCAGCCCTTCTCAGCGGCTCACACTCCGCGGCACAGCCTGTCTCTCCTTCTGAGAAGACACGGAGATCCCGCTAAGAGCCCTTGGGTTTCCTGCACGCGCCATTCTCCCTCCCACCCCCTGCCTGGGACTCCAGCTCCTCCCAGGCCAGCCTGCAAGCCCTGCCTCAGACTTCACCTCCCAGAAGTACCCTGCTGACATGGTGGCCCTGGGTTGCTCCATCACTGGCTTTCTTTCTTTCTTTCCTTCCTTCCTTCCTTCCTTCCTTCCTTCCTTCCT